CACCACCACAGGCGGTGGCGGCGGATTGTTTGCACCCGCCGCGCCACAAACGACCACGGAGAAGAAGGCGGACGATCCCTTTCGAGACCTGATCTCGTTTTGATGGCGGATGGCTCCAGACGACTCTACCAGCCATCCGGCGAGCTCACGAACGGACGAGAGGAATCGAATAACGAACCGAACCGAACCCACCAATCGTCGCCGATCGTTTTCCGAACCTGTTTCTTTTTCGATGCCAATGCTTTGCTACCGCACCGCACCGCATCGCATCGCACCGCGCCGTACTGCATTGCATTGCACTGGAATGCATCGCACTGCGTTTCGTGGTTCGCGGAAGGCAAGGCGGAAAGAAGGCCGATAGTCCGATCCAGGCAACGTTGGTCTGTCCGGACATTCCAGCAACTTATCGAGCCGTGGCCAACGAATACAAAAAGCTRGATGTCTTCTGTGCATCTTGCTCGGAGGCTAGGTTGCAGAGAAAAAAGAACAGGGGATCTCGCCCCTTAGTATAGATTTTGCAGTGATTTAGAGTGCAAGCTTAATTAGTATGTGTACCAACAAAACTACCTAAGATTGGCATTCGTGTTTGGGTCTGCCAGCGTTTTGGRTCAACCCACGGATCGAGACGGCCGCTAGAGAATYGCGTCCAGAAACACGTCGCTGGAATAGACGTCGCGGCACACCGGAGGTATCTCCAATCCATGCAGCATCGCGCCTCCCCCGTAGTCGCCATCGTTGTCGTAGCTTCCGGAATAGCACGCGTAGTCGATGGCGTGCAACTGGCAGAGAGACCGGGCGACCTCTCCGCCCCTGTTCCAAACATCCTTTGCCGCACGGTAGGTTCCGTATCGGTCTTCCGAGCTTGCGTGCTTCCCCCTCACCGGCATCGGCGGCAGCGAGTGGAGCCCTTCCCCGTGCCCGTCGGTCCCCTTCGCTTGTCGGTTGTAGTTGACGGCAACGCGGGGACACCTMCGCGCCAGAAACGCCGGGAAGGTTTCCGTGAGGTTCTTGAGGGTAGGGACAAACCAGTGGTGGTTGCTGCCATTGTTTGAATTCGGTGATTTCGGAGACGAGGATGATGGCAAGGATGGTGCGGGCGCGGGAAGCAAATCCAATCTCGACAGCGTTGGCAATATCCTCGTCATGGATGCAAAGTGAATGTAGTAAGGAAAGTCCACGAAGGAAGGATGYTCTTCCAGGACATCCCGGACAAACCGCTCGAACCGCTTTTCCCGAAGTTTTCGAGATGCCGTGTGGTTGCCGTTGATCCAAGCGCTCTCGTGCTCTTCACTACCGGCATTGCTACTACTCGCATTTTCAAAGACCGARATTCGAGAATAGGGCGCAAGCTCATCRTGCTTAGATGCCGGTGGTGCGTCACTTGCTCCAGTTATCAAGCGGAATTCTACCTCGTTGTATCCCGATAAGAAGTGACTCACTGGGTCACGAATAACGGTAAAACTGCAGGGCTTGTCTCGCTCGGTTTGATTGAAGCGAAAGTAATAGTCACCACCATCGTTATTCGTTGTAGCCGTGGAAGTTTGGTTCTGGTTATCRCCCAKTTTTCCRTCCTTTGAATCCTGGAGACTCGAACGCATTTGTTTGCCAAAAAGACGAGACATCTTACTGTATTTCAGTGTTTCCAGATAAAAGTCGTTGTCGTTGCCTACTGGTAAATCCGGGCGCCGGACGTCGCCGCTAGACTTTCGATTGAAGATTTGGTGCAGATAGGAATGGATTTGGTCATTGGCACATTTCCAAATGGGTGCATAGAACACGGTGTTCGTTGGATCCTGGCCATCGATAAAAACCGTAAAGCCAAAGTCACCGCTGTAAAAGAATTCTGTGAATGTTCGTCCTTTCTTTCGGTTCTTAACGCTTCTATTGYTGAACATCCGTGCACTGCTGTCGCTTKTGCCAGGAATTCCCATTTCTTTTCTCCCCAAGTCGAACAAGGTCGGTCCTAGCGAATGATCTGGAACTCCGCCTGGACAAAGCTTTTGTCGGATCTGAGGCCAAAGGACGTTGTTGAAATCTTCGTCAGAAATCTGATTGACGTCTTCGTTGGTCTCCGTTTTGCTATCATTTGTGTGTGCTGATGTAGCAGATTTGTCGTTTGTTGAATTGTGGCGTTTATCGGCTACTTTGAATGCAACCGGCGGTGACAAATACCCATGCTGTCGCAGTTCTATCGGAGTTGACAATATTTGCATTACCTTTCGTCGATAGCGTTCCAGGAGAACCTCTCTAATCGAAATAAGGCAAATGGTTRTCACCAAAACCTTGATACAATAATTCATGTGATGCACCGAGCCACGGTTGACGGYCGAATATGGCATTGCGAACAAACCTGTTTTGCGTCTTCTCGTCGGTGGTTGTTATCACAGATTTTTCATCAAATAGCTTCTGTAAAGTACAATGATTGGCAACGATGTTTCTGTTCCCAGGTCTCGGAGAAGGGGCTCATGCGGTTGAATACGGTAGGATTCCCAATCTTAGAAGTACGTKGGACGGATYGCTCCCATTTTCTCAGAGCTCGATTATTTTTTTACCGTTTTTTTGTGAAATGAATCAGTTTTCTGTGATGAGTCCGTGCAAGTTTTGATTCCGTTTCAAGGTCTACMGTACCGTACTACCGTACGTAAGCTTCAAGGCAGGAAACAATAAAAAGTTGTTTTCGGATTGTTTCATGTCGTACGGTAAGGATCGCCGAAGAAAATTACCCAGCTTCCCTTCGGATTGGAAAAACGTAAAGTACGTTACTCGAACGTACCTCTCTGGGTTAGGTAGACTCCTACTTGTATTTTTTTGTTTTTGTTTTCGAGAATTTGATTCTAGTGAGGATAAAATGAGACGCCAATTGATTGTACTTCTMATTGATATCAACGTATGGTACGGTACGTATCGCTTAGTACATTAGTAGAAAGTATGTTCTAAATCACAACGTCTGTCCATATGTCGGGAGTGCGCGAGGATTAAATTTCATGCGACCAGTTGTGTSTACGTACGGTACGGTACGCCTACGAGTAGAACTCGGAGCCTTACCGTAGCACGAGTCGTCCGACCGAGTATTGTACGACTAGGGGTATTCGGTATTCGGTATTCGTAATGCAGCTTTGAAGACGACAGCTGACAGGGAAACAGACGAAAATTCGTACTCGTCGTRCTCGCAAAAAAACACCGATACAATCTTCAGCTATCGGCATGAAAATGCCAAGAAAGTAATCATTTTGAATCTACTGCTTATCCAGAGACAGAAGAAGGAAGTCATCAACTACGAACGAGCCAGTCACCATGTATTGCGGAGATGAAACTGGATCATTTATCGGGGAGATCGGCAGCCACAACTGTCGCTTTGGTTACGGCGGAGAAGACAACCCCAAGCTAACCGTGCCGTCCTATGTTGTTTCTGGCAAAGATGATGGGAGCAACAATGGYAATACAAAGCGGCGAATGTCGCGCTTTTCATCCCTTCACGCCCMAAAAGAAGAGGAACTGATGGAATCAATTCTTCGYATGCCGAGCAGCGGCAATGGAAACGATTATTCACATCCAATTACTGATCCGAATTCCTTTTTGAGTCAGGGGGAAATCGTTGAGAATTGGGACAATGTCGAAACAGCCTGGCAGACGAGTATGGATGTATTAAGGGCAACAGATATGCTAAAACATACCCAAGGTGGAACTCCTTACGAACGAACAAAGAAGCAAAAACGAGAACACCGTGCTTCTGGTCTTTCGTCGTCTACGGTCACGGGGAGCAAGGAGCAGGATGATACCAGCGGGGGGAGATGCGTTCATCCCATTTTAGCTGTCACACCCGGTTTCACTGAGTGTACTGGTGGCTTCTCCGAAGRAGATAACTCTGTTGGRTCCAACTTCCAGGCCGCTATCAAACGACAACAATACACAAAATATACAGAGCTGCTCATGGAATCTTTGGACGCCACCAGTGCCTTTTTGGCCCCGGCTCCCATGCTGGCCGCCTTTTCTCTGGGGCGACAGACGGCTCTGGTGGTGGACATTGGTGCCGGTGGCTGCCGAGTCACTCCSGTAGTTGATGGATTGATAYTAAAGCAATCGCAGCGGCGGAGCGGGCGGGGTGGGGACTGGCTCGGTGATGTGACTTGGAGGGCATTGCTGGAGGAAAAGCAACGAGAACGAGAAGTCGACGACGAGCAAAACAAACGCATGGAGRAATTTAGTGACGAGAAAGAGAYGATATCTCGTGTAGAAATGATTAAGCCGAGATACATGGTGGGGAAAGCTAAGAACAAATACCTTGGGAAACTAGAAAATTCGGTATTCCATCGACGTGCAATGAACGATTTGTTATACGAGATCCGAACAGAGCCTTTCATTACTCTGCACGGCACTGATAACAGAGAGAAAATTCGAATTCCTTTCAGCATCAAACCAAGCAATAAAGAAGTCGGTGATGGAAACGAAGATGCAGTTGACATGGTCTCTACCCCCGGAACACCCGGTCAGGCTGCTGTAAACAAGATCGTGCCCGGAACACCAGAATCGACTATGACYGATGGGGAGTCCTCCCTTTACGAGCTACCCGACGGAACAACKGTTGATTTGTCTTCTTCCTTCGGAAAGGATTTGAGCCAGGTCCCCGAACTCATCTTTTGCGAAGAATCAGCCTTGCCCTTCCAACAGCATTTACGCCACGGCAACAAGAATGGTTCAGGTTCCTCTTCCTCGCACAACCAGACAACATTTTCCAAGGCACCTCTTCATCGGCTGATCCATGAGTCACTCTTGGCTGTCGGAGATGTSGATGTTCGCAAAGAATTAGCGGGTTGCATTTGCTTAGTAGGGGCAACCTCCCTTTTACCGAACATTGAGACGCGAYTGTCCCAGGAATTGAGCGCACTTTTGCCMTCCTTTGTAAAACCTAAGGTAATTGCACCAAGGGTATCGTCAGTGGAGCGTTCGTGTGCGGCCTGGATCGGGGCCTCCGTGTTGACCTCTCTTGGTTCCTTTCAACAGTTGTGGTTGTCTAGGGTAGAATACGAAGAGTATGGTGCCGGGATGTCGATTCAGCGATTCCCATAATGGCAGAGTACATTCGAGCCGACAAGAAAGGGGAATTAATTGGGATCCGAAATGTAGATCGATAAGAATATTCAAGTCAAATAATTTACAAGTCGCCCGAGGAAMAACTACCCTAAGGAGTAATATATCCATAATGGTTCTCGAAGATACACTTTCTAGTGTTCATTTCTGGGGTCTATCTGACGCAGTCTMTTGTCTGCTATAAATYATTTGCTCTTGTCATGCGCAGGTCGAAAAGATRGCATTGGCCGTGGATCAGGTTTCCAAAATTGATTTCATTTCCGATATTTTATTCTCGATYGTTTTTTCAACAATTATAAGTCGTTCATRGGATCGTATTTGGAATCCCTTCCAAAGGCAATCTCATCTAGTCCCTGMCCACTCCGCGTGTAAAAGCCACCATTTTCGATGAAATTGGGACACGGACGGTACGCCTTGATGGGCCAAAATTTCAAGACCGTTCCGATCCCTCCCTCGATTCTATTCAGAGGCGAACGCACGCAACAAACAATCGGTATTTTGTGAGACTACAACAAGGCGCAATTCGTGATTGACGGATGCCCCAAAGCACAGTGAATGTGMATGCCTTTTCCGGATTTTCRGRCTTRTGGATTGCTCTCTGGCTGTACTGTGCTATCATGACAAGTTCTAATATTCTTCGGAGTTWGCGTACCTTCCACTTCCATCACACAAATCGCAGTTGGGACACTTCACGGGGGTTGGAGGAGGCGAMTCGGACGCAACAGAATCCTCACTGCTTTGCCCGACAGAATCATCGTCGGTGGAAGAGAAAAGCAGATTGTTGTTGTTGTTATCGCTGCGACATCTGTGGCTGACTTGACACGGAGCAAAGGCTTGTGCTCCTCGTGGAACAGCTGCGAGGACAAGGACTAGGCCGAGCAACAAGCTTGCTGTAACTTTGGAAATATTGAAAACACTCATTGCACTGATCACTTGTGCCCGACTACGCAATTTTCTTGAATGCCGACGGAGAGATAGTTGATCTATTCTCCTTAATGCCTCTTAACGCCAGACTGTTTTTGTGGGGAAGCTCCGAACAATCATCAGGATCATGATCTTCTAGAGGCCAACTGTCTCTCCTTCCCGAGTCCTTCAACAAGGAATGCGACTATTGATTGATCCGTGATTCAGCATAAAAACGTCATCACAGTTTTAATTTAATTATTTTTAGGGGATTTATCGTATTCAGGGGCGAGATTCGTCTCGCATTAGTCATAGTAAAATCAGTAACATACAACTTAATCGTACGTACGAACGTAATCCCGTTCTGCTCTTTTCTCTTTTCGCACTTCGAATTCAAAAAATGCTAGCCCTAAGCGTACAAGGGTACGTACAGTACTCGTACGTAGGTCCTTAACCTGGTGGTGCGTATGGTACGTATTACAATACCGTACCAAACGGTATTAGCGCAAGTGCTGAAAAAGGATCGCACCGTTAGCAATACGTTTTGGCTCCGGAAGTGGGTTCGAAATTCCCCCTTGCGGAGGGGAAAATATTTACGAGATAGGCGGAAACTCTTCGGAGTTGTCGTATCGAGTAAAGAAACGAAACTGCTAGAAAAAAAAGCAGTCACATAGTAACATCAACGACAGACAGATCCTTCCGAATTGTACCATTGMGGTGTTGATAACTACTTCGTGACCTGCAATTGTCAAGAGACTTAGACGCAACCAAGTATTCACTTTTCTTAGATTATAATATAACATGGGAAAGACCAGAACCGCCACCCGAATAAAGCAGAAGGTGAAGGGAAAGAAGAGTCACAATAAGTCGGAAGACTTGACTCGCTTGACGGAACAATACAATGTCTTCACCAAAAGACTCCAAGGACTTGTTTCGGTACGTGCAAAAGCTTCAKAATGYAATCCCTCAAATTTCCACTAYAATGGAYGGATSTMGGTCATTTCACTAACTTTTTTCAATTTATGTAATCTCCAACTTGCTTTCGATTTCCATGCACCAAAAACAAACATTCATAGGCATTGGTAAACCAGCACGTTGCGATGCAGCAATTGGCAAAGGCGAAATTTCAGGTGGCTCAGCACCTCGCAATTTTATCGAAAGAAACAGTCCTATTTGAAACGACAGGGCAGACATCTGGGGCCGATCGTCCTTCCGATTCCGTMAATTCATATTTTTCGGTCCAGGAGGGAGTTGCTAACAAGACAAAAATGTACGCGGACAAATACAAACAGTACGTCGTCGACTACGCACAGGAGTGGTACAAAACAATCACCGATCGAGTGGGAGAAGACCTTAAAAAGGCGGAAAAGATCCGACTCGAATTGGATCACTATCAAAGCAAAGTAGAGAGTTTGCGACAGAGTGCCAATGCCACGATGGCCAAAGGAAAACAGGTCGACGGAAAGGCCAGCGAAAAATTGACCCGCAACGAGGACAAACTCATCAAAATCAAAGAGACAAGCTCGAAATTCATCAACGATCTGTGCTTGCTAATGGAAGAAATTACGGAGCGTTCCTGGCGTGACCTCCATCCACTCTTGATCAAATGCTCCCAATTCGAGACACAAGTCAGCGGCGACTTAGCCAAGGCCATGGCGTCATTGAACCAGGTTGTTTCCGCACTGAAGAAGATAGCTAGTGATAATGGGATCAAAGAGCAGCACAGGTTGAAGGATTTGGGAACTCTAGATCCTCATGTTTTGTCCACCCGATCGAAGGATGATGGCCGGAACTCTGCTATTGAAAACGGGTTTTCAGGCTTGGCACTGGGCAGCAGCGCTAGTTTGAGTATCATCAGCRCAGGAACCGGGGACAATGATTCACAATATTTTCCTCCAGGAAGTACGAGTGGGCAGGGTTTGGGCGGATTTCCCGTGCGGATCCAACCGGAGGCGTCGAATGGTCCTGATCAGTCGACGGCTTCTGCTGCGACCAATGCCGCACCCTCGACGATGTCAATGATGAACATCAATGCTGCTCCGGCACCGACAATGGACACGATGGCCCAAGCCTTTGGCAAAAATGCGGGTGCGCTTAACGGAGGTATTTTTGGCACCGCACCGAATTCCGGAAATTCCTTYGGCGCTCCAGCGCCACCGCCGAGCTCAGCTCCTCCGCCGCCACCGCCACCAACACCCCCATCGACTTCCTTTGGAGGTGGGTACAATGGCTTTGGTRCAGCGTCCCCAGCCCCAACACCCAATTCATACGGAGCTGCACCACAGTATGGAGCCCCGTCTCCGGCGGCTCCTTCCCCTATGATGGGTGGCGCCTACGGCAGCGGTTATACACAACAGCCACCGACACCACAGAGCACTGCTGGRAGTTTTTCGCAGCAGCCCTCACCAATGGCGACCGGAGCAAATTATGCCCAGSARCACTCCCAAATGGGGCCTGGCGGAGTGAATTACGCCCAGCAGCACTCCTCAATGGCAGCTGGTGGAGCGAATTTCTCCCAACAGCCATCGATGTATTCCAATCAACAATACGGGCGTTCAGCACCATMTTACGGAAGMGGCACAAACCCTGCCAACCCTTTTGGATAAAAAAGAATGTAGCAATATATGCTACACAGCTCTTGCGCACGGGGTTTTCTTGTTTGACTCTTGATAGTCAAATTGGGTTCCGAGAATTTCGTCAACATCTTCCTCTAGCTTCGTAGTAKCTACCATTCATTTTCACTATCACCACCACTTTAATATAATGACGGCAGATGTGCTAAATCTTCATTTTGTAGTATTTCAGTTTGCCTTCCAAAATTGCTATTGTTACTATTTTTTTGAGGCAGGGAAGACTTGGACAGAAGAATGCAATGATGGCTTCGTGATTTACCGCATGTCCCTGGACTCCGTTCCAGCACGATTAGAAGTACGGTACTTGTTCCTTTCATCTCGTGTTTCCAATGACACAGAAAAATTCTTCACAAGCCAGGGGCATATATTTTTGAAACGTTAGAATTGAGAATGCATAATGTTTGTGCCATTCGATTTTCCAAACGTCTGAGTGGTACCTGATGTAGGAAAGTAGCTACTACAGTAGTACGACATCTCCCCCCGTTTCCCGAAAAGTACAGTAATATGCCCCAAGGGTTTTGSACTGCTCCTGCACTGACCGCCTTGGCTTAGCAATCTTCTTGCGTGACTAAAAACTTCGTATTTAAAAATGATAATGACCTTCGTGATATTTTGAATCCGAAGGATCGTTCCGCACGGTTATGTTCCTGCTCGAGAATTTTCGTATTTAGTCAGAGAAAATGTGAGCCTCGCCCAAACGGTCTCTTACCTCAGAAGACAACGCGGTTCTCTTTTACCGTATGAATTAAAGACATGTGTTTTGTTCATCCTCAAGAMTGGGACGGCACATAAAAGAATGGCTGAAATTTCTGCTAGCCGTCAATGATTGTAACTTTYAGATTTAAAATAAGAATGCATCAATCTTCAGCGCCATTACCAATAAGTCGATAATCTCTTCTGCCTTCGACTCAGTCTTTGCTGCGATAATGGAACTTTGCAGCGGGAAGAGTCCTGAGCCCTTGGCCCTCAGAAACGTTGGACGCATTTCCACTCCTATCTCGTCTGTCTATCCACCAATCGAGAATTGGTATGTTGTTGTCCGCGAATCAAGTGGTGAAAGTCGTATATACTCATCCTGGGAGAACTATCAAGAAGACTCTTCTTCGTCCGAAAATAGGGAAGCTATCCAAGATGGAGGTCCGCCCGAAGTTGCGGCTTTCCCAACCATGGCTCAGGCCATCAAACAGCTCAAGCGCTACAACAGCGAATATAAGCTATTCCCTACATTATCTTCAACGATTGAAAAACTAAACAATTGTAAATCTGACTCCAAAAATGGTAACGATCGCAACAACATTCATACYAGAGTTTCACCTCCCCAACCTYCCGGCTCAACTTCCAAAAGTAATGCTACCATAGCTACTAGAATCATTGATTCCTTGGTGTCAAATGATAGCATTGGTGGTTCTCTTCCAATGCCACCAGCTTTTGCTGCTGTGCCTCCTGCAAACCAAATTATTGTCAACAGTGGTGAGGGRGATAATCGCGAGAGGTTGACTGCTACAGCTCTGAAATCCACGCCAAGGTCCATCCTTTCCTCTAATGAGGAAAAGATGGGCACGGGACGAATGACACAAGCGACCAAAACTCCATACGGCATTACTATTCCATCAGTCCCACTGAATAAAATTGTAATACCAACAGTACCTGCCTCTATGAGCACTAGGATGGCACGGACGGACATGAGCGACCCGAAAAGAAGCAAACTGGATACGAGCAATCTGGATGCTCTTGCTATAGCTGCGAATAATAGCAACACTGCTGATAGATCTATGGCATGTGTTATGGGAAGGGGTGCAGTCACTTCTTGTTCAAAGATTTTGGCAAAAAATTCAAATTTTAWGGACGGGGCCCAACCGCCACCAGCGAGTATTATTGCGGGAAGGGGTGCAGCATGCTCTGCCGATGCGAGGAGARCAATATCATCTAATTTACTCATTGGATTACAAAATTCCACCATGARCCGGTCACCCAGCCCCCCGGATCCTGTCAAGGATGCGAATCTTCACAAGCCCCTCTCGACCACACTTAGGATCCCCGAGGTACCAACAGCACTCTCAGGATCGCTCAAGATCCCGGAAGTGCCTCGGGGAATTATGACAACAAAAGCCCCCGATAGCCTCAATCAAMCTTTATCCAGTCTTRAACGTTCAAATGACGCTAGCAGCTCGTCATCTTTATCCMACRTGTTGATGATGTCGACTCAACCGCCCCAATCACWGACACTTGATTTTTATTCACAACAAAAACAACAAGAGCAATATGCTCTATACAATCGCCGTRTCCTTCTATCCCATCTTGATTCTACTGCATCATATCGAAACCAWTTATTACATCCACAAATGGATACTTTCCGTCAAAGGGTTGAGTTGAACTCATTCTCCAGCAATGACAGTGAGGTTCTATTAARTAGTGGGGGAGACTCCTTTGAACAAAAACGAAAGCGAACATAGAATAATGCATAAAGAAAGRGACAAAGAAACGAGCAAATGGATYTATGATATRATCATTGATCACACACTCCTGATTGGCAGTAGCTATTAACGCCACCCCGTCTGCAGCAGTTTCTGCCATATCATCTCGTATTTGAAAGCTACGTGACACTATTCAGTATTTTTTGTTCAATTCCACCCGRTCAAACACTGCTGCAAAAAAATCTTCTTTATGATTTTTCGGTAGGTCATTTATTCGACCACGAGTTTCTGCACACGACGATTCTATCACTTCCTCATCGAGATATCAAAATTGAGCAGGGTGAAAAATGTTCATAATTGTAGAAGGTAACAATAAGGTAGATTACTGTTCGCTCTAGCGTCGTAGTTCCGAATATACGACCTTCTTCTTCTCCAAGTTTGATCGTTGTGACTTCAGCTGGAATCGTTCATTTCATTTCCATTCRGAACCAACACTGAATTTCTATTRTCAACTACATGTGTTGACGGCATTTCACCGTCGACTCTAGCWTACTGACCTTTCCGCAAGTGATTCATTCGAAAGAATCAATTCGGATTTCTTTYGATGTGGTTCTTGTCCTAGTTTGATATGGCACACCTGCATATTTGGTTGGTTCTCCACGCCAATAGGCGCCGAGGGTGSCAAAGGTGTCCTCGTCTGTCGTCTGATAAACAGAAATAGAGGATGATCTCGTATGGTGAAATACGTTTGATCCACTTTCGTTGGGTTTCTGTCTTTCCGTTGTACTCGATCGAGGGAGGCTAACTGACTTTCGATTTCTATTGTAACTCGAGAAGACCAGTCTCCTGTTCGGATCAGGCACCTCATCTTCGTTGGTCTTCGCTCTATCGTTTGCGTTTAGTTGAGGAAATTTCGTACTCGTTCCCCCCCCTCTGGATGTATTTGCGAAGGTCAATGGCATTCGTCTCCTTTTGGGTTTTATCAAAGCTCGTGACGCTCGAAATACTTCTTTTTCCAAAGTATTGSTGCAAGCACGCCACCTTTCTGGTCTACCTCTTTGCGGAGGATATCTGACTAGGATTATTCTATTGGAATGCTTCATATTTAAAGTGGAAGGCGTTATTTCTCTCAGATTCCGCGGAATCACCGTCTGATGAGTTTTGACGCTTTCAGTCTTCGGTCCTGGTTTTTGTAAAGCGTGAAGGCATCCTTCAACATCGTCTTTTCTGATCACAAATCGGCCCGTCATCCCAATGCCAAGTTTACCTTTGCCGRAGYTCGCATATTTTTCTTGGAGGTACTTTTGGATTTTTTTCTTCATATATCCGTTCCAATAACGCTCGATCGTGACGCTCGAGCGACCATTTAGCATCTTTGAAGTTTCTGCCCACCGATTACCACRACGTATGAACCCTTCAATGATTGTGCGATGTTCCTCCACGGTCCACTTGATTTGTTTCAAGCTGTTGGGTTCCTTTTCGCTCAAATTCCTCGAAGAAGCAAACGTGTCTACTTTCGATGCAGCATTGTGTGCAATGGATGATTCCGCTTTGTTGGAAGAGGATGACGATTCTGGCCCCCTATTTGACGAACATTTTCTCGTAGACAAAATAAGAACATGGTCCGGAGCAGGGCGAGGTGTTTCCTCGCTACTTCTTTTATTCCTGACAAGCAAGGGTAACTGTTGCATGTGGGATACCACTGATTCTCTCATGGCTCCTATTGCCTTGTTGGTTCTTTTGTCGTCGGTACGCAAGGGCGGCCGTTCTGTGGGGGAAACTACAGGCAAGCTCGGCACTGTTTCTCCACTGGCTTTTAGTGCCTCTGCTTGTGCGACAGAGATGGGATRGGAATGGACAAGGCGAATCGGCGCTTGTCGTCGTCGTTTTGGTCGCAATGCCGTTCTTGGCACATTCATCAGGGGAATCTGTTTGCAGTTCGAACGCTCGTTTTTGCTAGTGCGAGGAATTTCTTTCTTAGATGGCAACTTTAGTGTTTGGGATAACAAGGGCGAACGAGCGGCTGTTTCTCCACTGGYTTCTGTTCCCTCTGCCACCGACGGAGGRTTGCTATGGCCAAGACGGAGCCGTGCCCGCTGTCTTCTTGACCGAATCGTATTTTTGCGCACCTTTGTGGATTTTCGCTTCCGGCGCGAAGCACCATCCCCCTGCCGCACGGAGCTATGCGGTGCTCCACTGGCTCCTGTTCCCTCTGCCAGCGAGGGAAGATTGCTACGTTCAAGGCAGAACAAGGCCGGCTGTCTTCTCGGCCGAAGCGTGTTCCTGCGAATCTGAATAGATTTTCGCTTCAAGCGCGAATGGTGGTCTCCGTGCCGAGCCGAGCAGTGGGGTTCTTTGCCACGGGTCCATTCGGGACACGCCGAAGCAGGAACGTCGCAGATGTAGCAAAAGCATTTTGGGCAAAACCGGCACGGATTTTCCGCAAAGGCGAATTTCAGGCAGTCTTCTCGACGGTGAGGAAAATCCAGCAGGGGGTTGTTCCCCCGACGGGTTTCGAGAATTTCAAGTATGTCGTCATCATCGCCACGATCCCTGGCTGCAAACGATGGTTCGACGGGCCGACACAAAAYTTTGCGGTCGTGATCTGTTTTATTCGCAGCATGAGGAATTGTTTGGGGCAAATGTTCGTCAGGCACGAGTGTATCTAAAGTGGCGAACACTGCCGCTGGTGGTCGCCGTCGAAGAGGAACGGGATTGACCCCCTGCTGCACCGCATTCTCGCCGTCCGAATTTTCTGCTCCGGCAAGATCGAACCAATCGAGCAATCCAGATCGCGTCCTTGGCATGGCTTAAAGAGGAGCGGGATGTGATCACCACGAGTTGCGTTGCTGCTCGCRAAGCCGACTGCGCTGCTGAAGAAAAAYACTGTTGACCGASGTCCCAATCGACCGCAATCCTGTTTGCTCAAATGATTGTTGACCAGACAAATCCGACCGACTCSATTTGTGTCTAGGAGGATTTCCAATAAATTGGCTGGCTTGTCACAAAGAACGCGAGGCATCGATTGTCGGTTTCGGAATCGATTCTTTGGTGAAATACTTCATCGATTCATTTACACCCCCAAAAAGTATCTTGC